GCATCATCGGTGTCGGCATTTGTTATGGCGCTCCAGTCTATGTTTCTCAGTGTATTAATGAAACCGTCAACGTTGGTATTTGAGCAGTCCCAGCGGGTTGTTGTTACATGTCGGTCTGCGTCGATTTTCTGAAGGGACAAAGAAATAAGTAGAGGGAAATGGTCGATGTTTGAGAAAGCCGGTAAAACTCCTGAAGATTTAATTAGTTCGGTTCGGTCTACAAAAATCAAATCTCTTAAGTTGTGGGTGTTCCCTTGTACGCGGGTTGCTGTGTTAATAATTTGAGTTAAGTTTGACGCTTCAGTGATATTTTTCAGTTTGTTTTCGAAAGTGGTGATGGGGGAGTGGTTGGGTGAATTACTAGGCAGCCAGCAGTTTCCAGCATTAAAATCGCCAACGAGGACCAGAAGATCGGGACTATGCTGTTTAGCTTCAAGGACACAGTCAGACAAGTAATCTAGGAATTGAGATTGTCGGTCGCTAGTGGTGTTCGGTGGAAGATAAACTGAGCAGAGCAGCAGCGTCGTTTTATGGAATTTGATTTTCACCCATAGGGTTTCAAAGAGCTCACACTCAAGATGTGATATTTGCGAAAAAGGTAGTGTGTCTCTGACATATACTGCAACTCCTCCGCCCATCCTTGTCCTGTTTTTTAGTAATGGTGCATGAAAACCTTTCAGAGAGTAAAGACTGGAATGTATAGTGGTGTCAAGTTTTGTTTCAGATAGTGCTAGTATGCTAATATCGTTAATGTCAACGTAGCTTTGAAGCTCCTGTAGCCTTTCGTTGGCAGTGATGGAGTTGATATTAATTGCGGAGATGTTAACACCATCGCTTCGGAGCGTACTAGTCGCTGGTGGCATTGTGGGCACGGGGAAGGCGCTTCGACTGGCGGCGGGTGGCGAGAGAACAGTTTACATAAAACAATGTGCAATGTGGGCTATGGCTTAACTTTTGGCAAGATGACACTGATTTTGAGAGATGAGCAAGTACATCCGCATACTTTTGTCTCTATGCGTCGAGAAAGCGGAGATGATAGACATTGATAGCTCCGAAACGTTAAAGCAAATAAAAAAATGACATACGACGACTGGGCACAGCTATCGTTAACTCGTGTATCGTTGTCAGGTGGGAAATCATATCACACTGAGCACAAGACAATATATGATGGGCAATATGCAATATACACAAGGTCATGAAAAGTGATTTGGTTATGTTTAACACTGGACGCATGTACGGCCGGCGCTGTACGAACCGGCACCGGAAACCCAGCCTCAGCCGGGAGGGCGGGGGGTGACGGGTGCTGGCCCGTCTGGGAGATGGGGTGTCACTACTCACAGCGTAGGCCCGGCTCGCCTAACGGTCACCGCTCGGGAATCGTTCCCTGTCGACACGCCCACTGTCAGAGACGGCGGGGCGAGCAGCTGATTGATGAGGTGTTGCCTGAGTCCGAGTATTTGCGCAGCTGCGCAGACCGTCCTTATAATGCCTTCGATGGTCGGCTGGTTAGCTCAGCGGCGGGGGCCGTCCCCTCAGTCGCCCCGAACGGCGGGGGACCTCCCGCGGCGGCGCTCGGTCACCCACGCGTTGATGGCGTCAGCGGCCTGCCAGGCGGGCCCCGACCCGCGGCGCGCCGAGCGGGCTGGCTCGGTCTCCCGTGGTCGGAGTTCCCGGAAAGCGTCGGCTCCCACGATATCTTCAAGGTCAGCTGGCTCTCTGATTGAGACTGCAATGTCTCCCTCTGTCTTCTTCACGCGCACACAGCCGTTGGTCGTGTAGGCGGCCCACAGAGACTTTCGTTTCCGGAGCTGCCTAGCCAGGAAGAATAGCTGCTGGTTCTTGGCTGTAAGGCACTCTGACACAAAGATGCGGCTAATTACTGACCGGGTCAGCACCGGATGGCCACCCACCTTTTCAGCCGTCAGCTCCTTTCGCTTGTCGAATAGTTTTTGTCGAGCGTTTGTTGTGGCGAATTTGGCGATGATGGGCCGTACCTTGCCTGGCTGTGGACGTCCAAGGCGGTGGGACCGGTCCAGGTTGTCGGCCGACAGATTGAGACCGGCAGCCCGGCCGACGTCCAGCACCAGGTTGTCTGTCGCCTCACCGCTCGTCTCCGGCACCCCGGTGATCAGCAGGCTGGTGCGACGGTTGTACGCATCCAGATCTTCGATGCGCCGCTCAGCTTCCTCGAGCCTGTTTTTGGTGGAAGACAGCTCAGTCTCGAGCGACGCTATTCGGGCTTCAGCCGCTTCGTTGACCCGGTTGATTGCTTGAGCAACGGCTTCCGTTACCAGGTCCTGGAGTCGTTGGACGAATTCAAATTCACTTAAGATTTTCTTGGCTTCTTCCTTAATATCGATTTCAGCCATGTCAGCCATATTATCTCACCACCCGCCGCCTGGCTCCCTTAGGTAGAACTAATCACTGGAAGGGTCGCGGCGCACTGGGTCCAGGCACGGAGGGGCAGGGGACACGTCCGTTCCGGCCGGCGGTCAGGGGACGACTGATAGGGCTGAGGTAGGTAGGGCTCTTGGCTACAACTCTCCCGAGAATACGGCGCAAGCAGAAATCAAGCGCATCCTTCCGAGGATGATAAAATCGCCCGTCGGGTGTACGCGAAGTGCGCAGACGGAGACGTGGGAGCTGCACTCAGTATACCCACATCTAGCGAGTCCTTAGTGCAGCCCTCCGGAGAGGTCATCAGTTTGCTACGCCTCAAACGCCCCCCAGCACCAGAAGACGAAGACATGCCACCGCCGCCATCTGCTACAGATGCACCGCCGATGACCGTAACGGAGAGCCAGGTCAGACAGTCAGTTCTCTCCATGCCGACGGGATCAGCTGCGGGTCTGGATGGCATCAGGCCCCTTCACTTGCGGCAGCTAATCTCAGCAGAGGCGGGCGAGGACGGTCAGCGCATGCTGACTTCACTTACCGCACTCACCAACCTGGTGTTGGCTGGTCAGTTACCATCATGTGCGCGGGACGCCCTCTACAGTGCATCTCTGTGCGCCTTCCGGAAGAAAGACGGAGGCCTGCGCCCGCTCACCGTCGGCAGGGTCTACCGCGGCGCCTACCAGCACGTATCGCCGCCCGCTTTGCAACTGACCTGCCGGGTCCGGAACTGAGACCCGTTCAACTCGGTGTCGGCACGCCACTCGGCTGTGAGGCCGCGGTACACGCAACAAGAAACCATACAAAAAGCTCACCAGATAAAATAGAAGCAACACGAGTGCTCGACAAGGTAGACGTCAAAAACGCGTTTAATACTGTGAGACGTGACGCCGTGTTTCAGTGCCTGAAGGACTGCTGCCCGGAGGTATATGCGATGGCCCATCAGGCGTATAGCACGCCCACTCCACTTATCTACGCTGGTCACAAAACCATGTCCTCAACGGGTGTCCAGCAAGGTAACCCGCTGGGCCCGCTCGCATTCGCGCTGACAGTCAACACGCGCGCACGCAACCTCCAATCACCATTGAACATATGGTATCTTGACGATGCAACGACTGCAGGCCCAGTTGCTGACGTCATCTCTGTTGGGTTGTGGCTATGCGCCACATACTTCTGATCCGCGCAAGGTTACAATTGTTTAGTTTAGTGATGAGCCGTATTGTTGTTTGAACAGCTATGGCGTGGATCAGCCATGATTTATATACGTTTGATCAGAGACTGAGTTGGTGGAACGCCATTAGTTGTTATTTCATAGTTAGAGCCAAGTGCACGTGTAGCACGAGGACCTGAGTTCGGTGCAGCGCCTTTGGTCCGGCGGTCCCTCACCACTAAGGTCCTCCTGTCCGTAATGGCCGCCGCCATGCGTTCTCGTGTTGTCGTGGAGCAATAAACGTTAGCCTGGAGCCCGCTGTGAGTAGGTAAGCTGGAGCTCGGTGACGCACGGACACAACAATATCTGACCTTCAAACGGTCACCAAGATGCTCCCAGATGTCGGCCTCATTTTAAATCCTGCCAAATGTGAGGTGACAGTTTTAGACGACGCGGACGAAAATTAGCAAAAAATGTTGATCCAGCAAGTAAAGCGGGCTCTTCCCTTCTGGTGTTTCATGATGTCACAAATAAATGAGGTATTTGTCCAACGATACACGCCAACAAATGGGATTATTTAGCTCACCACTGGCTTAGCGCTTCATGATAGCTCACTCCTGCTTCATATAGCTCAAACTAGCTCATCTCTAATAGTCTCCAATTAGCTCAACCTGAGCTCCCAGCTCCGAATTAGCTCACCACTGGCTCATAACTAAATAAATCTCACCACTGGCTCATAGCTCCACGAAGCTTTCAGCCGTAAATTAGCTCACCATTGGCTCATAGCTCCACAATAGTTCACATGATGGCTTTCAAACCGAATCAGTCTGATTCATGATTTCCACTTCCCTGCTCCAAACTCAGTCTAACCGCATCAGTCACCCAGGCACAACATTATTGTGTGTTGACACTGTATGAAAATAGATCTTTATGGTCACCAATCTGTGTTGGTGTGCGCATGAAAACTCTCACTGAACTGACCCCGACTTCGGTGTGTTTTACCCGATCCCCGGACCTAAGTGGTAGATTAGCTGGGCCCTGTTCATGAAGTCTGCGGCCGCTGCGGCCGGCCGCAGGCTCTAAGCTCCGCCCATTTTTGAAACGTCATCACTCACTCGGCCGCAGCAGCGTTCCATGAACAGCGTCTGCTGCCGAAATAGTTTCCGACAATTGTTTACAACTGAAGCACACCGGTAGATAATTTGTTTACAAAATCGTCTCCATGACAACACGGCTTGCGCCTATTTGACTTCAGTGCGCTAAGTTCAGTGCAATTAGTTTTCTTGAGGCTCGGCGGTAGCTGGATTGCGGCCGCAGAGATCGCAGCGGCCGCAGCAAGATGACGTCATACATTCGTCATACTACGTGAGCCCCGCCCCTTTTTGTGACGTAACAACCCGGCTGGCCGCAGCGACCGCAGCGGCCGCAGCGACCGCCGGGGTTCATGAACAGGGCCCTGATCTCGTCAGCCGCGCCGGTGGCATTTTCCGGCGCACTTCCCGCGCCGCCACTGCCTCCAGCGTTGGCGGCGCGGTGATGGGAGAACCATCAGGCTCGCCACTACCACCGCCGAGCGCCGGTCGTCTCTTCACATCCCCCTCGTCCTTTGCTAGTGTGTCACTGAGCGGCCTTTTCAGGGCTGAGCCCAACAACCCACCGTGGCGGGCTCCGACTCCGCATCTTCCGACAAAGGTTTGACACCGTCGGTCTGGCTGAAGTCTCCACTGCAGCAGCCGATGTTGAAGACGCCGCTCCTGATGATGCCGCAGAGAGAGTAACCCGTCCGGGAGGAGTTGGAGGACAGGAGTCGGTGTGTGGAGGCGTGACGGTCGTCTCTGGCGTGTCCGAGGAGTGGTTTAGATGGTCGTCAGCGGTCACAGACTGCAGACAGAGAGAGGGGCGGTGTGTTATTGTCCAGACGTGCCCTGATGTGTCCAGAGATGATGCGCTTCCGAGAGATTATGAGCTCTGATGATGAAGCTACATGATATATTCGTTTTTTTTAAGTTTGAGCCCCACTGTAAACATCTTTTTGAACACGGCACGAGAATTGCTAGCTGAATTACTGAGAAAACTGATTAGCGCACATTGATTTCACAGACGATCAACCTGATCAAAATAAGTTCTACCTGACTCCATTTCTCAGACTCGTAGCTCGTATTTGGCCTTATTTATGACCCCACAGGGATAGAAGACTTGTCAGGAATTATTACTGAACTAATTAAGAAATCGCACGGTGTATAACATAACGATCCACCATCGGTGTTCTAACCATATTTTGAATATATCATTTATATCTTCCATACAATGTGCAGTGTGCACTATCCAGTTTTCTCAGTAATTCAGCTAGCAATTCTCGTGCTGTGTTCAAAAATATGTTAACAGTGAGGGTCAAACTTAGAAAAAACGAACCATAATAAAACGAAAATATTGATAGAAATCCTATAAGCATATGGAATGCGAAAAGATTTATTTCCGTTTTCCAACATAAAAAGTCCCGAACACGAACACGTTTAACGCAACTCAGGAGTTGAAAGTCAGCATTCGATCTGAATGACAGCATTTAACAACCCTGATTCTTTTAACTTGAATAAAAACTGTCGCAATACGAAACAAATCGTACAACACAACATCCTGTGGTTAGAATCGAACCCACTCACTCGCAGTAACTCACCTCATCGTCACTGCCGCGCTCCGAGCCCAGCGAATCTCTGTCACTGCCAGAGTCATCGGGGTCGACCAGCACCTCCGCTCCGGGGAAAATGTACCGGGACGGCGGCTGGTGCAGAAAGGCGCCCTCTGTTGAAGAGAAAAGGCGTCCTCATTGTCAATCATACAATGAGCCAAAGGCTATTACTTCCTTATTTTTTAATCATAATGGGGCTCCACACAATTTTCAAAGAAACCCTCAATATCATTCAACATAAAAGGCGTCCATCAGGAAAACACGTAGCGAGGAAATCACGTACCACCATGTTACACACCCACACACATACAACTTAAAAGATGTTGATAGTGGGAGCCAATAACACCTGCAATCTATTTATTTATTTATTTATTAAACATCATCAGATCGATCCACTATAAGGCAGGGCTTTTCTCCGATCATCGTCATAACAGTACGAAACACATGAAGATGACAAGTAAACTAAGATCACAGTAGCGCGATACAATGACAATGACAGTAGGTAAATATCCTACCCGACGGTACCACTCAGTCGCAGCACGTTCCCGATCTTGGACTTGAACACTGACTTACTAAGGCCAGCAAAGCCATTGTTCAACGCTGTTCGGTTGTACAGGGACGCAGCACGGTACGTAAATCGACGCTTGCCATGGTTGTTTCTTACACGTGACAGAGCTAATAGGTGTGATTGTCTAGTATCCCGACATACGTGTTCGTGGTTGTAAGAGAGATAAGAGCGTAAAAGATGAGGCTTTCCAGATGTAAGAATGCTATGGATCAGTGACAGGTCGGCATGTGCTATAAAATCAGCAGCAGGCAGCCACGCAAGTTCCTCGAGCACATCAGAAATGTGCTCGAATTTCCGTCTCCCGGAAATAACTCGGGCTGAAAAGTTGAAGACCTTCTGCAGCCTGGCTATGGCCGTGCGATTGGCGCTACCGAAGACGGGCGCACAGTAACGTATGTGTGAGAAAACGAGAGAATCGACAAGGCGAGGTAAAACAGAGTGTGGAATGATATGTCTGATGTGCATGAGACCGATAAGAATGCCGAAACAGCGGTTGATGATGGTGTTGATATGTGATTCCCAAGAAAGTTCAGAGTCCATGACAACTCCTAAGTTCTTCACTGTGCTTGACAGAGGAAGTGTTTGACCCATAAACTCGATCTGAGGTGGTTCTCCAATCTGAGTCAGCTGGCGATGGTCGCCACACATGAGCAGCTCCGTCTTCAATGCGGTGAATTTATTTCTGACGGGACGCACCAAGAGCACAGGGGAGCGAGCCGTTAACCACAGCCTTCCACACGCCCGTGCCTCGACCGCCCGCTGCTGACCCCGCCCCGGGACACGCGGCAGGGGCGGCGCCAGGCACGCCCCACCGGGAGGCGCCATAGGCGACGCCAGGCACCCGACTACGGGCGGTTGAAGACGCCCTTAACAGCCATTAATCTGAATAAATCACTCTCGCAAATCACACGTCAATTAAAACGGTTCACTCAAAACACAAACACCAGTAGCATTACGAACAAAAGCTATCAAATATCCACATTGCTGGGAATTCAAACAGTCTTAAGTCTCTTGATTTCAATCGCAATGGTAAAATCTTAGCACAGCGACACATAAAAAACTAATCAAATCCAGGACCATGGTGTGGCCAGTTTCAGTTGATTGAAAATAGACTGCTTTTTCTACCAACACTAACCAGCCGGCCACCTATCTATCTAGACCGGTGGCGAGCTAGCCCTACTCCAAAATCACTCTTAAAAATTCCACTCCTCTCGAGATCCGAACCCGCACTCACCGGGTAGTCTGGCAGCGACACTCTCCTTCAGTTTCCTCTGCCAGCAGTGCCGGAGGGCGTCTGTGTCATTCTCGTTGGTCGGATCGGCCGGCGGTGAGGACGGCGCAGATGGCGCGGGGCGAGAGGGTAGTTCAGTGAGTTCTCGCAGCGGCGAAGAAGACTCTCCTCCGTCAACGGTAAGGAGCCCGGAGCATTAGCCGCCGAGCCTGAGAGGGAAGGGAAATGAGCGTCAGTGTTTTTACGGCTATAGGTACTACTTGATAGAGTATCATTATGGGTGAGCACTGAGCTGCAGGTACAAGACCACTACCTGCAAGAACGTAGGCAGCCACCCAGAGAAGCGTGAAATGACCCTTGCAGACCCGGCACTCTCGGCCCGCCTGACCGCCCACGGAATGAACGTTCGGCTCTCGTTCTACTAAACAAGTGTAATATTTGTTATTTTGACGTCCCAAATCGCTATTTAAGTTATTCAGGATGCCTGTGAAGAAAATGCATTCCTCTGCTAGATTTAAAGCAAGTCTTTTACTCTTTAAAGCAAAACTACAATTACATTTCTTTGTTTGCTGGGGGTTAGGGGCGCAACGACTGCAAGGTAAACTACAATTACACTTCAAAGTTACCTTACCTTACCTTACCTACCTTACCTACACTACTTATCGGGATTTAGAAAGGCACAACGCCTGAAGGTCCCGATCTCGTCGAGTAGGTTCTGGATACACTAGGTTAAATCTTGGGTTGGCACTGAGTAATGGATGGTCTGCCAGTGCTGGTCGAGTCGGGATTTGAACTGGGTTAGGGTCTCAGCGAGGACCACATGACGAGGAAGGGCGTTCCAGTCATTGATGGCTCGTACGCAGAGTGCGTTCCTCCGCACACGAGACGCTGCTTGAGGTTTCGCCAGCTTCCAGCCGTGCCCTCGAGTTGTAGTCATTGAGCTCCTCGCCAAAAAGTCATCAGGGTCCAGGTCGACTCCCGCGTGTAGCAGCTGGTAGATCGTTAGCATGTCTCCGCGCCGTCTTCTGTAGTAGAGCGAAGGTAACTTGAGTTTCTGGAGACGCTGAGGATATGGCAGGTTCCTGATACCTGACACCAGCTTGGTTGCTCGTCTCTGGATGCGTTCTAACAGCCTCTGATCGTGTCTGTTGAACGGTCCCCATGAAACGTTGCCATACTCGAGGAGTGGACGTACAAGAGACTTGTAGAGCAGCGTCAGTGTCTGTTCATCAAGGTGAGCGAACGACCTCCGAATCACGGCCAGGACCTGGGTGGCCTTGGAAGCTGCAGATGCTGCCTGTTTTCTAAACTTGAGGGATGAGTCGATAAAGACACCCAGATCTTTCTCTTCACTGGCAGATTCGAGACGGTTACCTCTGATTGTGTAGTGGTGCTCCTGGTTATTTGGGCCGATGTGCAAACTCTTGCATTTTGCTTCGTTGAATGGCAGTTGCCATCTATCGGACCATTCAACTACTGAGTTGATATCCTGTTGGAGGTCCTGAATCTGGGATGGCTTAGATACACTGCGATAAACCTTTGTATCATCAGCGAATATCTTGATTGATGAGGTCACCACATCTGGAATGTCGTTGATGTACACCAGGAATAACAGTGGGCCAAGGACAGAGCCCTGCGGCACCCCACTAGTGACCGGTGACCACTGTGAGTGGCAGCCCCCCACCAAAACCTGTTGTTTGCGTCCAGAAAGAAAGGCTGCAATCCACCTCAGCAGGTTTCCTTCAACACCGTAGGCCCGGAGCTTTCTAAGCAGGCGCTGGTGAGGCACTGCGTCAAACGCCTTCCTGAAATCCAGGTAAATGGTGTCAAGGGGCTCACCATCCTCAATAAGTCGGCTCCACTCGTCAATCGTCTCCAGTAGCTGGGTGGAACAGGATCGCCTGGGGCGGAAGCCATGCTGGTGTCTGGATAGTTGATCAGTCTCATTTAGAAAGTTGATCATCTGGTCGCGCACAATGGATTCCAGCACCTTGCAGATTATTGATGTCAGGCTGATGGGCCTGTAGTTTTCGGGTAGACTCTTGCATCCTTTCTTGTAGATTGGAATGACTGTCCCGAGCCTCCAGTCCTCAGGGAGACAGCCTGAATCCAGTGACTGCTGGAACAGTGTGGCTAGTGGGGCAGCAATAGCACCAGCAGTCTCAACCAGCACCCGGCTGGGGACACCATCTGGGCCAGGAGAACTGGTTATTTTCAGCTGCTTCAGCTTCTGGTAGACAACGTCAGCTGATATTACAATGTCCTCCAGCTTGGAGCCCTCATACTGCCATGTAGGCTCGGGGATGTGACTGGTGTTCTCCGTGGTGAAAACGCTACTGAAAAATTGGTTCAGTACCGCAGCCTTTTCACTGTCGTCACTCCTCAAGGTCCCATGTGAGTCCTGCAGGTCGTCTACACCCGACCGAGTCTTCAACCTGGACTTCGATTAATTCCAGAAAGCTTTCGGATTGGTCTTTACGTCTGCCGCAAGCTGGCGTTCAAAGTTCTGTCGAAGGTCCCTCGTGAATGCTCGCAGCTCATTCCGGCAACGTTTAAACCGAGCAAGATCAATCGGGTTTTTGGACGCCACGTACTGCCTCCAGAGGAACTCCTTTCTTTTCTTCAATTGCAGGGCTCTCCTGTTGATGTAAATGTTCCTCTTCCTCTTCACTGGACATGACATGGGGATGGTGTCCTGGATACATCTGAGAAGGTTAGCTTTGAAGAACGCATAACCACTCAGGAAATCCATCACCAGTAGCTGGTTCCACTCCACACTGAGGAGCATACTTTTCAATAGCTGGAAGTCAGCACGTGCAAAATCTAACTTTTTACGCCCTTGGTCTTGGTACATGGAGTAGCACATGAGGTCAAATTCCAGAATCACATGATCACTAGCTCCCAGACCAGCTGAGTACCTGAGGTTCCTCACCATGCCCTCTTCATTTGACATCACAAGGTCAAGAACACCTGGGGTTTCACCATGCCGGTACCTGGTTGGCTGTCTGATGTGTTGAAACAGGTAACACTCATTCACCGCATCAACAAATGAGTGTGAATAGTGACCCACTGGAGCCGATGAATACCTTGCATCCCAGTCAATGTTCGGCATATTAAAGTCTCCTGTGATAAGTAGGTGAGATGGGTTCATATGGCATACATGGCGGAGGAGGTCACACAGGTCATCAGTGCTAGCTGCAGGTTCCTTTGATGGACTGCGATAAATGCCACCCACCAGCATGCTGTCAGAGTTCTTAAGCTGTAGTCTCAGCCACAGTTGTTCTTTGAAAACGGTTGCTGGAAATTTCACCTCGGTAGCGTGTAGCTGGTCACAGACATACATACAAATTCCGCGAAGGCCACTTGCGCCCAAATTTGGCAGAGTGCAATCAAAGCTGGTATATAAGAAGTAGCCTGGGATTGCCAACAATGCAGGGGGAATTGGAATGGTCTGCGCTTTTGGGATAACTTCTGTCAGAATGATAAGATGAGGCTCCTTTCCAGCTATTCTCATACATAAGTCATCCCGCTTATTCAGGAACTGGTCGGCGTTAGTATATACACATTTCAAACTATGCTTGCTGGGGACAGCGAGTCATTGATCAGTAGGTCTAACTTGTGAAGCAGTGACCTTGTGTTGTTCGACACCACCAGCTGGTCTTGATTGTCCACCTTGCTCTCTGTCTGTCCTGGGCTGACCATCAGACCTAGCCCCAGCATTCAGCGCGGCACACACAATTTTCCCCCTTCGGATGACAAGATTTTTCTCACCTTTCTGCCTTCGGACTGCAAGCTCCTCACGCAGCTTTCTCCCCTGCTCTCTTTCCTTTGGCGTCAGGTCGGGATTGATGTAGATATTGGCATAGGCCTCGCAGCTCCGAAGTTGAGGTGCCAGTCGCACAACTTCTTGCCGGATACCAACATTTTCCAGGGTCACTATTAGCAGTCGGTCCTTGTCAGGCATCTTTTTACCAGCTCTGAAGGATCTGACACATGTAACTCTCAGGTTGAATGCCTCCCTGATCATCATCTCAAAGGACTCTACATCATGCTTTGTTTGCTCCTCAAACGTGTCACTTGATGATTCCTTCAGGTTGTGGACGACTACGTTCAACTTTCTTTTCTCCTTTTCCTGATAGTCATCAAACATTACTGACAGTTCCTGCGTCGCCTTGGCTGTAACTTTAGAGCTACTCTCCGTAGTGGTAGGAAGGGATGCTATCTGGGCACTGACCTTGCTAAGAACCTCATCACAGGATCCCTTGACCATATCAGCGTACGTAGCCTTCTGCTGATGGATTTCCTTGGTGGAGTTCTTAACGAGCCTTCCGTTTTCCACAGATGCTCTTTCCTGTTCTTTCAGGCATTGCTCTACAGTCCGTATATGCGCAGTGACGGTCCGCATGGACTCAGAGACGGAGTTGGCGAGCTTGTCAACTTTTGCCTCGAGGGCCTGCAGCTTGACCGGGTTTCCTGCATCTTTGTGCTTTGGAACAGCCTTGCACTCGGGGCACAGCCAGCTCAGGACAGGGTGCCACTATTCGATGGCTCGAAGAGCATCCCAGGAGATAGCCTGGCAGCCCGAATGATACCATGCCAAACAGCCGTCGCATCTAACTCCCATCTCTCCATCCAACACTGGATCTCCACGTTCCTTTGCCTGGACCACCCTTGCAAAAATAGGTTTCGCTTCCACTGCTACCAGTGTCACTGGATGACCGAGACAAGAGACAAGTTGGCTTTTAAAAGTTCAAAGCCTTTTAGGTATTTTGTCAGTATTATAACTAAATGCCACTGCTATCATATTCGAATGACAATAATCATTACATTAAAAGTTTTTAAGTCAATTGTCAGTGTCATCAGCCCCATATGACTCTCCAGGACTCTAGTAGGTGCATTGCCCCATCACCCACCTTGAGCAGTTCCCTGAAGTACAGACTGCAGGCAGACAGCATCATCCTGTGGGTCCAGACACGCTGTCCCTCACAGCAGAGCGTGACGTCCAGCAGCTCCCCTCCACAGCAGAGCTGGTCAAACACAGACGTGACGCTGCCCTGGAACCAGTCCCATTTGAGGCAGAACTTCTGAGAGTCCATCCTGGAGGGCTGAAGATCAGGGGCAAGACAGCAATTGGTTAGTTCATGAGAGGTGACTTGTTCCATTCTGGTTTGTTCAGTTTGGTTCCGATTTGGTTCCTTCTGTGATCCTGGTATCCACTCTCAACCAATTCAAGACCAGACTGGATGATCACTGGAACCAAATCAGACACTCTATCCTAATTCCTAGATTAGCTCCCACCAGAGTCCTCAGTTCAGGAGCTCGATGCCATAGGGACCCTACAGGCCTGAGGCCAATGGCCATGGTGGCCATCAAAATTCCTGTACTGGTAAGGTACCTGAAGTAAGAAGTAAAGCAAAAAAAAAGTTTTTATATACTAATACCGTGATCTGGGTGTGCTTCTATTTTTATGTAAAAACTAAAAAGCAAAACAACTGAGCTAGCATAGGTACCCGAGGGGTGTTCACGGGCACCGCAAACTGCTGAGTGCGGTGTGTGCGTTGTGGGCCGCAGGCGTGGGGGTAGGGGATGGCTTGGGGGATGGGTAGGCGGTTCTGACGTCAGGGCTGCGTGCGGTAGACAGTCCGCTGTGGCAGGTCCCGACCGGCCAGAAGCGGTGACGGAAGGCTGACATAGGGACACAGTGGGCGGAGCTTGGAGGCTGTGTACAGTCCGACCGCACACAGGAGCCCGTGAACAGCCCTCAGATATATATGACACAGCCGCGACATTTGCAGCGCAATTTGACGGATGCTCCAGCCTCCATGGGTTACCTTTGAATTTTAGCTGGTAAAAATTAACATACGGCTCGGAAATACGAACTGAGAAATAAAAAGACTCCTGCCATTCACAACAATCATCGAGAAACACCCACTACACCCACATACAACAATACAACAATAACCACCAACACGCGCGCCGAAAACCACTCAAAACGCACGTGAACGTTCAAAACCAAGTTCAAAACACGCGTTATCATCATCAACGTTTTATCATCAACTCCATCAACTTAGCATCAACCTAGCGTGAAATTTGCGTAAAATGCACATTGAATTTGTCAAACATAAATGACGTCATTGAAGACTATGCAAGGTTTCTTTTATGATTTGATGCCATTTGATGCATACTTCAAGTCAATAAGCAGCCATTCAATAAGGGAAAACTATATTAAAGTACATATGCCCTTTTAGAAATTGCAAAAGTTGTAATAGCATGTGCAATTTTGTCGTAAAACTTTTTGATAACTTTATTCATGGCAAATTTACAATCTTTCTTGTGATATTCCTGGTGAATTTTTTCATCCTTATTTTAAATTTTACTACATCATCTTGACAAAATTACAGGATAATAAAGAAAATAGTAACTTAATGGAAGAGAAAGGGAATCTTGCCTCAATAAATATTTGATTTATTTCTGTGAAACCTTGAATGTATCTTCCGGTCCCAAGCAGAAGATGAATTGGAATGTAAAGGGTGAGACTAAATGCTTACTTCGAAATCTAAGCTGCGTTGCGGCATTGGCGGTTATGTGCGGCGTGTATGCCGCATGATTAGTAAGCGGCGACCACTAAATTAAAAATTCAATAGCTTCGACCTGTTTTCAATGGATAACACTGCATACCAAAAATGTCCATCGCTCTCGTCATAGGATATTTAGATTTAAATAACTAATTTATCTACATCATTGTTTTGAACAAAATTAATACTCAGCCGCGAACGTATAAGGTATAACCCCTTGCCGTTTCGCTCCTGATCAAGCTAGAGCTTCGCGGAAAAAACGAGCGTGTTGCCCGTGACGAGAGAAAGCCGATGATACCCAATTTTAAGGTCCTAGGTTATCGGTTGACCTTCCAAGTCAGGTCAATGACCCAAAAGGCGGGAAAATTGGGACCTGTTCGAACGTCGTAGTGTGGCTGCTATGGGGTTTTTCGGGGTGCTGATCACGAATATCATGCTAGTTTTGATCACAGATGATGTCTTCATTCATTTAGGCCAGGTCGGGTTAGGTCAGGTCAGGTCAACCAGTAGAGGTCCTGCCAGGTATTTGTAGTAGGTGTCAACCGCCTCTGACAGCCTCGTAACATGTTACGAAGGCACCAAAACTACTTTGTAAACGTTCATGTGGCTGCTTAATTCGAATTCAGCTCGAAAAAACTGACCTAGAAACATGTCAAACTCGAAAAAGTGAACCGAGGTCACCAAAGGTCAATGACCTGACCTGACCTTCAGGTGACCTTGACACCCACCCTAATGCATGGGGGCAACATCATATCACATGTTTGAACGCTTGAAACCACGAAAAGACTGCAAACGCGCTGCTAATGCGAGCCGACATACGCTGAATCGCGGTTCCGGCCAAACATGGTCTCGAAAAGTAGGTCACAGGTCAAAGGTCATTTGGGCCAATCGGAATTTCTTTTCTTGGAATTCCAATTTTTGTCCAATTCCAATTTGGAATTTGGACGGAATTCTTAACATTTTTTGGAAATTAATCGGAACACAAGGCCTTTAAAATTTAAAATTTTAAAACGGAGGCCTTTAACCTCGCCCATGTAGGGGGGGGGGGTTGGTGCAACCCCCCCCCCCCCCCCTGAGGTTTTTCGGGAATAGTGCAAAAACGGCGGCGCGCAGCGCCGCCAAATTTTGGGTACCTTATGGGGCAAACCTTGCGCATCTTTTGATGAAAAAAATTTGACCGGGTCATGTCAGGTCACGGAGTTATGACGTCACAAAGGGAACAGCCTCCGGCCGGATTTTCACAAACTGAGTGCCAACGCCCGAGGTTTCCTGCCGGTGGTACGGACATCGGTTGATGGATCGTGATGAAACTTCCCATGCATGTTGGGGCAAGTATTGGCTATCATATGGTATAAGAAACTTGACCGGGTCAGGTCAGGTCACGGAGCTATGACGTCAGAAGAGGAACAGCGTCCGGTACTATTTTTGAAAAGCGCCCGAGCCACTATTTTGCTAATTCTTGTCACCTCAATGGGAATATGCAGCAATATTAGCTTCTATAGGGAGCAAATGGACATCCCAAATCCAAAAATACAATCAGATTTCAAAAATTTAAATTTTGATTTTTCGAATTTCTGCCGCCGACTGTGACCTTGCCGACTTCCGGCGCTCCCAACGCGCCATTTTTAGAGCTAGGGAAACGAAATACATACCAAACGATAGAGAATTGATCAAGGAACACGATAGTGAAGGTTTCAAGTAGATATCTCCCACCGTTTTGCCGCAATCGCCGCGGAAAATTTGAAAAAGTATATTTTTCCGAAAATTTGACCTTTGACCGGTCAAAAGTAGGTCAAATGTTGACCTAGGACCAAAAAATATACCACCAATCGCGAGATCTCGGCGAGAGCAATCCGTTGGTTTTTTCCGCTAAGCTCTACGACGCTCCGTTTTCAAACGCCAAGGGGGGGGTCGCACCAACCCCCCCCCCCCCTGCATGGGCGAAGGTGGCAGATCGCCGTTTACGGGCGAGGGTTAAAACGCTTTTAAACACTTTTAAAATGTACGCAAAAAATGCAAAAATCGTTAAAAATTGGAATAGCCCCCGCTTTGGACAAAATTGGAAATTTACTTGGCAATTTCTTGGAATTGGATCGGAATTGGAATTGAAATTTCATGAAATTGGCACCACTAGTTGCATCAACCCCCCCCCCCCCCCTGTGCGGGCGAGGTCATGTTTTGATAGCAAGACTGAAACAGACTTTTTTGGGTAGCCAGGAAATCGCATGCCAGAGCCTATTCAAATTCTTTTATCGGCCTTTATATGCACCAGTCGCATACAGGTACGGGATTTAGCATACGATTTCCAGACAATCGAACGACTGTTTGGAGACAACAAAGGAAGGAATGAGTGAGTTAAGTTGAAAGTATTAACCCGCGCCCTGCTGGGGGTCCTGGATTTCCACGCCCTGCTGGGGGGGGGGGGTGTTTGAACACCCCCCCCCCTTGTAACTCGGCTCCTGGGCCACGTAGCGATACGCGGAAGGCGGCGTTCGAAAGAGCGTAAAAAATAATGACGAAATCACTTCCGTCAATTTTTTGGTCAGGTCAAAGGTCAGGTCACCAGAGGTCATTGAAGGCAAAATTTCGCCGATTTCCAGGTCGAATGTCGAAAATTTCCAAGAAGCCAACGCATAACTCGGGAACCAATAGAGCTACAGCGCCGCGGAAAAGCGCATTCGATAGCCCTATTAACGCCCTTTCTGATTAATTCTCTCAGATTTGACCTAACGTCAACGGTTTTGCCTGCAGGGGGCAAAAACTGCAAAAATAGCCGATTTTTTTGAAAACAGTTTTTCTGCAATAACTTTTGACCCAAGCCTTGTACGAGCTTACTTTTACCGGCATCGTGTTCCTCTCGTCAAGACGCATCGAATGAACTATAACTTGACCTTGAAAGGTCAACTTGAAAATTTGACCTCAGGTCAAGGTCATGACCTGACCGGAAAGGGTCATGTTGCATATCAGTCGATCCGTATCGTCGAGCTGAACACATCTAAGGCGTTTTCATCGCTCTAGCATGCCTCTATCAAAAGTTATTTGCGAAAAACTGTTAGATACCATTCGTGACCTAAGATGACCTCAGGGCATAAACAAGGGTCACGGACACCATTTTTAAGTTCAGTGTGTCTAAACCACTTGTAATTCGGTGTTTGGGAGTGTTTATAATGTCTTTCATCCAAAAGAGGCGCATTTCAATTTTCTCCCATTGACTTATAATGGGGAGGTCGCAAAATTGACCTGACCTTAGGTCATGGATATCAAAATTCTGAGATATACATTTTGTACATGCTATTGCTCATAGCAATCGCTGAAAGTTTCAAAGCGATCGGTCACTCGGTGTAGCTATGACAGACATTGAAAGTTTTTATGAGGTGAGGTCACTTCAAGTGACCTGGTGACCTGACCTTGAATGACCTTGGTCTGAAATTTTCACAACATGTGTAGAATTGATGTATGATAAGGTGTACCAAAAACGGCGGCGCTCCGCGCCGCCGTTTTTGAGATATTCGCGAAAAACCACAAGGGGGGGGTGTTCAAACACCCCCCCCCCAGCAGGGCGCGGGTTAATTTGGTTCAAAATGATGATGTAGATAACCTAGTTATTTAAAGCTGAATATCTTATGACGAGAGCGGTTGGCATTTTTGGTATGCAGTGTTATTCATTGAGAACCGGTCGGAGCGTTTGAGTCTTTAATTTAGTGGTCGCCTCTTACTAATCATGCGGCATACACGCCGCACATAACCGCCAATGCCGCAACGTAGCTTAGATTTCGAAGTAAGCATTTAGTCCCACCCGAATGTAAACAGCAACAAACAAGAAGGAGGAAGTGGCAACTGGCAGCAAATGGAAATATATGGCTTTGGGCAGGAAGCCAAGAAGAGGCTTTTGAAACATAGGGTATAATTAAATTAGATCGCTTGGATCTATATTGGAAAGCAACAGATTGATATTTAAGCTCCTATAATATCGCGATTGTGTTGTTTTTGCCCTTGCTTGCTGCTGCGACCGTTGATTATATCGTAAGATGGAAGTCGAAGATGCAAAGTTTAGAAACATACGACAGTTTTTTGCCGAGGACGCCTGGGAAGCCCTAAGTGATCTCGAGAAGCAAGTTTATTGTAACATGAAGTCCAACTATGACAAGTTATCTGAACTCGGTGAGTCAGAGCTACCCATTTTTTACGTTTTTATATGTTTAACCCTCGCCCGTATTGGTATTGGTGTTTTTCCAGCCGCGAACGTATAAGGGGGGGGGGAAACGGACCCCCCCCCCTTACCGTTTCGCCCCTGATTGAGCTAGAGCTTCGCGGAAAAAACGAGCGTGCTGCCCGTGACGAGAGGAAGCCGATGATACCTAATTTTAAGGTCCTAGG